CCGGGGGGGGCTGCCTGCTCCCCCCTACCTGGGCTGAGGTGGTAGACGACGGTGCCCTGCTCCTCGCTGAGGGTGGCCGGGGGCCAGTCGTGGCCCGTGGGCTGGCAGAAGGGCTCCGGTTCAGGGGGGACCCACTCTGGAGGGGGGGACACACACAGAGATGGGCAGTGTGGGCACGAGGGAGGTCTGGCAGGGGGGTGAGGGGGGGGCAATGGCCGCAGCGCTCCCTCACCGATGTGCTCGATGGGCTCCTTGATGACTTCGCACTCGACGGGCCAGCGGGGAGCTGGGGGGGGTCTCCCCGCCGAGGGGAGGGCAAAGAGAGCCTGTGGCCCCCCCAGGGACCCGCGGTGCCGCCCCGAGGGGACCGGCGTGACGCGGTGGGAGGCCGGCTCCAGCACCCCTGGGGCTGCAGGGGGAGCGGGAGGGACTGGGGGGAGCCCTGGGAGGGAAGGTTGGGGTGGGGACACCCCCCAGAACCACCCGCCACCCCCAGGGGAGGGAGAAGCCCCCCCTCCCTGTGCTCTCCAGGCTGCTGGGAGGCCCCCCCACCAGTGCTGGGGGGGTACGGGGGGGGAAATGGGGTCTCACTCACGGCTCAGCTCCTGCCCAGGACCCCGCAAGGAGCCGGGGGGGGCGCTGCCTGTGCTGGGGGTGTTTGTGGGGTGCTGCTCCGAGGGCCCCCCCGGGGCCGCTGGGCTCTTCTGCCCACCCGTCTTCTGGCCTTGGGGAGAGCAGCGCTGCAGCCCGAGGGGCCGGGGGGACCAGGGGCCGCGTCCCTGGGGCCGGCGCTCACCTCGGAAGTAGCCGTAGAAGCGCAGGTGGCTGCGCATGAAGCTGTCGTAGGGCTCGGGGACCGGCCCTGCGCCAAACCCCCCCGGTGCCCCCTCTCCGGGCCCGGCAGGGGGGTGCCCCGAGGGCCTCATGGCTGCCCGGGCTCCGGCACGATCCCCTCTCCGGTCCCCGCGGTGCCAGGGAGCCGGGGGACGCGGTCGCTGAGCGACCAGGGAGGGCCGGGGCGGGCCCGGAAAGGAGCCAGAGGGATTTCGTCATCCTGGCAGAGGCCCAGGGCAGTGTGGCCACCAAGAGTCCCCAGGGCACTAGCCTGAGCCAGGGCCACCCCACAGCAGGGACAGGGACAGCCCCAGCTCAACCAGACCACGCGTCCCAAAGCGCTACCGTTTATTGGACAATGTGGGTGAGGGGTGAAGGGGCTGGGAACTGTACATCTGTAAAAAAAACCAAAACCAACGACGACAACAAAAAAAATAAAACAACCGACTGAAAAAAAAATAAAAACCCAACAAAAAAAAAAAAAAAGAAGAGTGTGGCGTGTCTCATGTGCTGGAGGCGGTTTTCCTCCGCTTCAGCCGCGCTCGCCAGTCCTCGGGCAGCGCCTCGAAGTTGGCGTTCCTCTCGGCCATGCCACTGTGGGGACAAAGGAAGGGAGGGTCAGAGGGTGGGTAGCAGGAGGTGACAGTCCCCACCGACCCCCCCCGGGGCCAGGGAAGGGTCCCCACCTCATCAGCTGCTGCTGCTTCCACTCCTCGATGCGCCGCTGGGCAGTGGTCTCCCGGTCCTCCTCGCTGGAGCTGGAGTTCTCCTCCTCGTCCAGCTCCCGCTGGATGCTCTGCCACTTCTTCACCAGCGACGGCATCTTCGTCTTCCCCTTCTTGCCCTGCGCCACCACGGCAAAAAAAACCAACAAAAAA